AGAAAGAAACTAAGGAAGAAAGAAACTAAGGAAGAAAGAAACTAAGGAAGAAAGAAACTAAGGAAGAAAGAAACTAAGGAAGAAAGAAACTTACTATTCCAAGCAAAGAAAATATCAGTGAAGAAAAGGAAGGAAAGCAATATTTTCTATGAAATTAAGAAAAGCCAAAATTAGGAATAAAGTTATTATTAATTAAACCTCTAGCCAACCAAAGAATGGAGCTTACATCTTCAGTAACAGGTTTTTTTACCAATACCCTTTAAAATCTTTTCCAAAGATACATTACTGTTTGACAGAAAAGTTACATTGAAGAAAAAAAAACCTTCAATAAACTAGTCTATGGCATGAAGTAAATAAAGCAAAATTACATTACTCCTGTGCTAAACTTTATAAATAATTATCAGAAGTTAATCAACCACTAATACCATTGTCTTTAATAATACTTCATATTTTATAAAAATATTTGATCTTGTAATAATAAATTGTTAGATTAAATGAATATTTAAAATGATATGAGAAAAACTTTAATCTTCTTCATAATATTTCACCATGCAACAGCATAATTTTCATTTAAGTTTAGTTTTATTCTTAAAAACACTATGGAAACACTCCATTTCCTTTTAAAGACTCATAAAGATTATGATGCATAACGGTGGTGTCATTTTTCTACCCATAAGTGGTGGAGCCATGTAGGAATATACAATTATTATCATGCAATTTCACCCACTTCAAAATAAGAAATTATATAATTTTTTTAGGAAGGTCTAAACTATAGCATTTTTAGCATTCTGCCAAATAGTGATTAAACCATGAAGTGTGGATGAAATATCTATGTAGTCATGAAATTGTCACCATTTCCATGAAGAGTTCCAATGGATGTCTCATATCCCATCCATGTTAAGTGTAGGCTTACATTGGGGGTGGGGTATTCTTTTCCCTACATTGACTAATTTAAACATGCAAGAATCCTTGGAAATAGCCACCATATCATCGTGATCATGGCAAGCATGAATATGTCTCCATTGCTAAAATCTCCAAGCTTCATGTAGGAAATCGTCTGCTAAAAGATCCCTTGCAGCCCATCGGAATGCAACCCAATTTGGAGGACATAACAACAGGTTTCCAATTCTTATGAGATTGATTTTTTTTTTTTTTGCCTGCCTAATTGAGTTGCTTTGACATCACATGCAAGGGATCTATACTCATTACTCAAGATTGCAAAATGTGTGCCTGCAAGTGCATTGTAATGCACATATATTGAAGGCAGCATCAGTTGCTCCTCATGATAAGTAGAGATCTTTTTATCCAAAAACTTATAAATAGTTTTGTTCATCCCACCCCTCCCCTCCCCAATAAAAACAGCTCCATCACTTATGAAAGCATCAAAATAACATGAAAGTATAATCCGTAACTGTAGGTCATTTAATACATGAATAGGCTCACTAACTCACCCAAGGCTCATTTATATCAGGTGGTGGAGGAAAGGTTAACTCAAGGTTACGAGAAGGGGACCTCATGGGTAACAAAGAACGACTCTTTGATTTCCTGTCACTACAATTTGGAGACCTTGCTCTTCTTTCGGTAACATCCAGGGCTTCAAAAGACTGTCGATAAGAGCTCTTGATCTGGCAAAGTTAATGTTTTTACTTTTTTATTCTTTTTCCTGGTTATTTTATATATACCAAYGTTATAAAATAAGACATTGGTCTTCAAAAACCACATACTGGATAAAAGTGTAACATTTAACTAAAAGAATTACTGGATTGTTATAATTGGCTTTCATGCAAGTAGGACTTGAAGATACGTCTGCATGCATGCATACAGTCTTACTAACTTGACATTTCATCATCTTAGCATGCCAATAGTTCAAATACTGATTGTTATTAGATGTATGACTAAATTATTAGTTATACAGTAGTTAGTATTGGGAAGACTAAAACAGATGTTATATGTACTAGTAATATATGTTTGGTTTCTTTTGTTTTTGTTTTTGAAAAAAAGAGGAAAAATTATGGTAATGTTGTAAAAACAGTTAGCCATGTCTAACTAGGTGAAGTTAGGAAAATGTAATTAATAAAGTTTATGCCGGGTCAGTTATGATGTAAGTCATGGATTTTTGCTAAGATTTTTCTTAGGTTATTAATTAAGCTACCAACTGGCATGTACATCAAGTTCAAGCATCAGTTTAGCTGCAGTATTGTTAGTTTTATAGTCAGATCTATTTACTTAGCAAATACATTAATAATCATGTACACATTAAAAGCAGCTGCAGCTAGTTAGAGTGACTTTTGAATAATATGAGGATAAATCATGAAAATATGTATTCAATATCATTCTTACCATCTTTGATAGCATTCCAATATTATTATAAAGCTTACAACAGTCATAGGTTAGTTATTCGTTAATCATTTAATCATAATCCACATCACAAAAGGAATGTCAACAGAAATCAGAGAGGACATACAGGTCATGCAGTACATAATATTAGCCAGGACCTACTGATCCAATACAAGCCATTCTATTTCTTTAGCCCCCCCCCCCCCCCCCCCCCCCCACACACACACACACATGTTTCCTTTTTTTTTAACAATTTTTTTCTTGTTTTGGTAAATACACAGCTTGAAAATGTTTTTTTTTTTTGAAAACAGATACATGTGGACCAGCAAAAACAATTCAAAAATTCTAAATGTGGACTCATTTTTTTGAAAACAGAACACAATTATGCTTTCAAAGATATACAGATATGTGTCGATAGGCCCTAAAATAAACATGATGTGAGTCATTTTATACTAAATTAGGTACAGAGTGAGGAAGAAAAAATACCAAATACATTAAAAATGTATAAATATTTGCTTCTTTGGAATTTGCAGCTGTGAGATTATAATGCTTCTTTGAATAAATGGGTTAGTTTTTCGTTAACAATGTCATTTTTTTGCTTTGGATTCATTAAAGGGACATCTGGATGACAAAAGAACTGAATTACAGTACATGCATCTAACTATAGATAGCATTTTCTCACCTCTGGTAACTCCCATGCAGTTTCTGTCCCATTGACTTTGTAAAAATAAACTTTTCCATTCTCATCCATTGATTTTCCCCAAATGTCATCATTCTCATCATTATAATAGTTCAACTCATCTGATGACTCAGTACATCGAATATGCCATCCAAGGGGAACATTATCCTATTGGGGAAAATGACATTACTGTGAACGGGCCTTTAGAGATAAGGAAAAGGAACAAAACAAAATAATAATGAAAAAGGATATTGATACCATGAAACAACATCTGGGAGGGTCAAAATCAGGGCAAGGCTAACTCACAGATAGTATATAGCTTTGGAGAAAAACCCTCAAATCAAGGGAAAGAGCAAACAAACTCTTCTCACGTTATCCCAAATGGACTACCACTATTACTCAAATATATTGTCAAGTCATCCAGGGTGAATATGCAGAGAAAGAGCAGTCCTTACAAGCAAGATACCATCAAGGTGTAGAATAATTTTGAAGGTATCTTAGGAGATGATGATTATTCAGTGTGTCATAGCAAAAGTAAGGAAACAGTGACTCAGATTTTTGCCCAAGTTCCACTACTTTTACTGCTTAGTTTTCTCCTACGCTTTGAGCATTTTTCTTTTGGATTCTGGGTTTTGCAACAACTTTTATTTATCTAAGTATATAAATTTGGAGTTTCATATATCTATACAACATTTATCTGTTTTTAAGTTTTGTTCCTTCATTATATTTTTAGCGTGCTTATAATATTTATAGTGTTATTTCCCTTTTGTGTGCAAAATTTTTTTACTTGATAATTTTTTGGGACAACAAGCAAGCCAAATTTCAGTTTGAGAAGGGAAGTGAAGTGTCCATTTAAAAAGTGTGGCACACAAATAAAAGTGAAAAATAATGACTTATAAAGATGTGATCCTTACAGGGAGAAATTTTAATTTTATCCTGAGATTTATTGTCTTTGGTTGTTTAAGAAAACAAGAAGCAATCATACAAGTGATTTGAAATAGGTGCACAATGCAATAGTTTGTCGCAGCGAAAATTTCTAATGATTTCCTTTTATCTCTTGTCAAAACAAAATATTTTCCACCAACGAGGACAAAAAATACTATTTCTAAAAGTTATTTGGTAAATCTTTTCCTGGATAAGCTTTTTTTATTATTTTTGAGTAAAAGTTGGCATTTATCGAGCTGAAAACCTGGAACTAGGAAATATAAAGCTTTGAACAAAATATTCACGGAGTGGCTAATTCTGGCTGAGAAACAGAATCACCCTGGAGTATTCTTTTATGGATTCATGGTTGAAAATTCTAGGTATCTAAATAGTTCTTGTGTTGTGATTAAAAGTTCAAAATATCTTTGTTAACTATCAGTATTTTTAGCATGACAGAAAGTTAAAAATATGAAACAACATTGACTGAATCTGTGATATAAACATGACAATATGTAAACCAATGAATGAAAAAACATCACTGACCCATGCCTGAAACTGTCTCAAACATATCCTGGCTTAAATTCTCATCCTAACACAGCTATTACACAACATGGTCTGATTGGCTGGTTACAACAAAAATAATAATGGATTGAGCATACTAGCACGGTAATAGAGCACCTGCGCACATGCTGACGTCAAGAACTGTTTCAAGTTCTTTGACATCCTGTCTCTTTAAAACACAACAACTGAAAGAACACTCAAATCTAAGCTGTCACTAATTTCTCACAGGCAAAAGTTTCTCTTGGTTCAAAGAACTATAGCATTAATTTAGTAGGAATTTTCTCATAACTTGTATAAATACAAGAAAACAATAATATGGTGTTTTGGTAATTCTTTGTTTGCAATCATCCCCACCAAGGAACAAAATGACAAATAGACATGGTTGCCTGGAAATGGTTGGTCTAACCAGGAAAAAAAACAGTAAATCATTTGTTGAATTTGTCCAACAACTAATGCAGAGATCATGTTTTTTTTGTACAAAATAGGACTGAAAAATGCAACTTCACAATATTTTGACAAGTCCTAGGATTCACTTTACTAATCCACGATACTATGCTTGGGACCCAAATTAGTATTAGTATTTACATAAGATCCAGGACCCAGACTGCAAAATCCTGGCAAAATAATATTGCTAGTGTGTTTTGCACGAGTAATAATATGACTTACAAACCTCTCCCCATCAACATATTGAACAAATCATATATTCCCAAGTAGCTTAATTATTTCTTCATGCACACATACCTCATGCGAAGTGACAGACCGTGAAGCTCTAGGTGGTTTCCAGCTTGTTTCATTTGTTTTGGCATTGTAGTAATATGGTCTCCCAGAGTCCTCGTCTGTTGTAGCCACCCATCCTACTGGTAAAGACTGGGATTTAGGTCTCTCATTGCCACGGGATGATGATACACTTCCTCTAAGTGGTATGCCACTCTGTAAAATACAAAAATGAAAACTATATTAAACAAAACACTTTCAGTAATGAAATTTGAGCATTTTTCAAATTTCTTTTTTGATCAGGGCTGAAAATAATGGCTGGTTACCAGAAAATGTCTGACCCATTGTCTGAAACTTATCAGGTCAATGTCCAGATGTATCTTGATACCCAAAATGCATTAATGTATAGTTTCTCAGAAAAGCAATGAGATGTAGGTGCTGTAGCAGTACACTACACCTGTTTACTTGTCATGAAATGTTTTGGAGTTAGAAGTTAAAAGTTGAATAAACTTCACAGTGATTTATAACCTTGAACATTCAATGAGCATTTTCAATCTAACAGAGTTCTAAGGATTTGCATTTGGAAAAACCATAGCAAAGGATTTGAATTTTTTTTGTGCTAGGAATGTATATACAAATACTTGGATCACCATCTCATGGCAATCTTATACAGGAGTGTTCAGGGGGCCCATTGTATAAATCATGGAAAACATAATGAGAAATCACAAATCATCAATATTAAATGTTGAATGTCTCTTTCATCCACTTTTTGTTTCCAAGACAAGAAACTCACAAATATATGTTTTTCATCTTTTCAGACATCACGTAAGTGAATGGATTACAAGAAATGATTTATTGAGTTCACAAATTACGAAAAACAAAAATGCTTGATCAATCGTCAAAAAAATGTTAAACAAAAAATTGTAAAACCCCCTGTTTGTTCCTGTTTATAGGTAAGGGAATAGTGTTCCTTAATAACAGTCTCGATTACGAAGAGCTAGCCTCCATTAACTCCAAAAGGTTCACAAATAGCAATGGCAAATTAAAGAATGCACAGCATTAATGACAAAAACACTTTGACATTCCATGGACTTACACTGGAACACATGAATATTCTATCTATATTCTATAATCAATAATATCCTGAATTACACAAATTTGAAATGAGTATCAGTATGGCAGCCCTTTAGGGGTCATGCATGCTTTTTACATGTCCCATTAAGGAAGTTTAAACATTATTTTCCTTAAACATGTGCACTGTCTTAAGGCTATTTAGTTCTACCAGTGCAACAAAAAATTTTTTGGAAGCCTTGTTTACCCTAAACTTGCTTAACTAAACTTGGAATTTTATTAATGTATAATTAGTTTCATGTTGATGAAGCTTGCCAAATTTTCCTAAGAAAGCTTTCAGCATTGGAAACAATGTTAACAAAAGCAAGATAACGAGAAAAAGGCCATTGGTGCATGAAAATAATTTTTTTATTGTAATTAATTGCTTATTCTCGAGTCTGTCTTTTAAAACAAGATATACTTATAGGTGCCAAGCACGTCAACTCGACTATTAAAATTTTAAAGTCTCAAAATATTCCGTTTAAAACCTCAATGCAAAAATGAAGTCCAATCTCAAATTCAGAACTTTGTCGATCCAAAAAGATCCGATCAATTTATAAATAACGGAGAAAACCAAGTGAAGTATAAGACGTTCTAGATACATTAGGAATTTCACTTTCAGGACCTAACAATAGATTATTACTCGATATTTTTTTAGTACAAACTCTTACGTAGGATTGCCAGTCGTCCATATCGTGTTAGATAAACGTCAGTTCCTTATTAGAACATAAGTGAAATCTGGAGAAATCGCTGGAATATATTTATACTTTTGTGCTCAACGCAAACATTTCTTTTCCTTCCTGCTGGTGAGAGAAGAGCGCGCCAGACTTAATCATTTCCGCAAAAAAATTTCCGCAATGATTGGCAGAGCAGGTTCAGGCATATAATAAAATTACAAAAACCATGGATTAAATCATAGGCCAGCATGATCTCTCACACGGTAATTGTAAACATAGTATTAGTAGTAAAAGGACAAACTAGACTGAGCATTACTATGTGTTTACATAAGTGTAGTAATCGTGAAAGTCACCGGGAATTTGTGCTGAACGCTGGAGGTTGCAGACAGGCTTAATGTCCAAAGTCCCTTCCGATATAACGATAATTCAAACAACTATTTATATATTATTCCTTTTAAACCATTCATCGAAGTTCTTCAAAGTTATTAAAGAATATAATTTAATACTTGAAGAGAATTTGCGACTTACATTTTGAAGTGTTTTGGCCAATGATCGAGTACCAGGTGAAAGGGTTTTAGGTTTCTGAGTTGGATTTACGCACTCTTCAGATTTACTGCTCTCGGAGTCTTTAAAAACTGAATTACTATCTTCATGAAATGAATTTCTATTGTCACCACCAATATCAGACAGATCCCTCGAAGTTCGAAGTACTAGTTTATCTTCATGTTTTCCTTTAGAGCTGTTCTGTTCCTCAATGTCTAGCTCTCGGACGTAGCTTGCAGGCACATACATTGGTTTTTCGTCATTATTTCTCCTTACGTGCCACCAATCATCATTTGCTTTGCACAGCAACGTAAAGTTTTCGCCAGCATCAAAGGCAATTCTCCTACCATCTGCAGCGTCGTAACTGTACGGATACAAAGCTTCTACCTGGCTTTCCACAACTATCGCCATGTTTAACAGCTCATGTGTCGCCAAGAAACAAAGGCAGAATTCTTTATGGCATCTATTTTACGAGGTCTACCTGGCCGGTTCAAGAGCACATCTTCAACGTAACGCAAATATGAATTAACTCCACAAATATTTCCAATATTTCCCGTAAAACTAACTGTGTAAAAGTGGACTAAAGACTTTCATGAAGGAGGTCACATCTTCAAGTACATCCCAAAACAACAGAAAGAACCATCACTATATCTTAACAAATCACAAAAACAACGGTAACGCTTGTAAATATTGTCTACGTGGATTTATGGCTGTCTTCCTTTTTTCTATTAGGCTTGTGGTGTACGAGAAATCCAGCAAAAGAGACATCAAATTAAAAAGTGATATATAAGAACTTTCCTGAACGATTCAAACATATCATGGCAATCTACAAACAAACCACAACGAGGCTTACCGGGTAAAATAACAATAAGACTGGCACTAGTTCTCAACCTACCTCTGTTGTACATGAGGCTTGGCTGGCGTTTTCCTCACAGGAAGCCCAGCTTCAATTTCCTTAAATACTTAACATTTCGACAAATAAAAAGATAGATTTGATGTAAAACCAATGAGACTACTCCCACGGTCATATTTTAAACTTTTTTAGTAGATTGTACAGCAATATTATCGTCTTTCGCGCTAATTTTCGAAAAAATTATGAAATCAAATTTGGGCCTCCTGTGGTTTCCGAGAAATCACGGAAACCGGAAGCAATGTTATTTTTCTAATTTTAAGTTATTGAATTTGGGTTAATTCCCTATTTAAAATTCATGCGTAATTTCCAAGAATTCCAGATGTACAAGGACTATCATAAAGTTTTAGATTTGGTTGTTTGGGCTTAGTTTGCGTGGGATTGCGATCGTAGGAGTTTAAAGCGAAAGCTGCGAGCATAAACCGTGAACATGGAACAAGGAATTCGGGACCTTTTGAAAGAACACTACCAAGATATGATGAGAGATATTACAGAACCTCATATTCTTGCTAATGGCATCAGTGTTTTAACGCCCGTCGATTTAGAGAGAATAGAAGCTGAAACGCGAGAGAGAGGAGCGAGTACAGGTGTATTTGAACTCCTGAACAGGCTACAAAAGCGAGGTCCACAGGCTTTTCCGCAACTGATTGAAGCACTAAGAAAATCGAAATACGATGAGATAGCGAATAAACTGGCAAGAATAGCTGAATCCCGGAAGCTTTACCGAAATAGATGCAATAGACAAACAGGTAATTAGATTAAACTAAAAAAACTAACCGAAGTTTGAAGCATTTTGTTGTTGTTGTTTGGTTTTTGGTAAGCTTATATAAACAATCTGTAAAATCGAATTAAACTATCGTTTTATCTGGTCAAAAAAGAATGGATTACAGAAGGTTGTTGGATATATCTGACTGAACAACTTAAACAAGGAAGTATCCTCCCTCTTAGCTTGTCGTAAAATTTACAAGCGGAGATTCTTGGAAATGTACCGTGCATGCAGGAAGACATGTATCACTATTGCAAGCTTCCTAGGCTGCGTTCATAATGTATGGCAGAGGGGGGGGGGGGGGGGGGGGG